TGGGGGAAAAATCTGTCGCATACGTTATGTCGCGTACGTTATTATATATTTTTTTAATAAAACCTAACCAGAGAGAATTTCTATCAAAAAATGGAAGGATTGTAAAGGTACATTCTTTAGCTTAGTTTAGGAATTTTTAAAGAAAAGAAAAACTCTCATGATTCGCAGACTTTCGCGTATATGTATATGTGCCTTAAAACCACTTCTTTTTTTGTCGGTGTTATCAGCTGGTTTCGAACGGATATTTTCCACACCAAAGTTTCGAGGCTGCTTATTTTTTTCTCAAACATAGTACCCTTTGGTTGCAACATAACCGTAATCTTTTTTTTCTGTAACTTCTATTTTTGATAGATTTACGTTACTCTATAAGCGTACGAATGTCGCGTACGGCTGTAAGGAAACACCCATATGTACATATAACAGCAGTTAATTTTATTTAAAGAAATGACGGTCGTCCAAATTCCGCTGTACCATGGCATATATTTAGGCGCAATATTTAACTGCTACCGGCGGGGCGACATCTGGAGTCTCTAATTCCTAGAACGAGGTTCATATCGAGACTAGATTGATATTTATNAGGAAACACCCATATGTACATATAACAGCAGTTAATTTTATTTAAAGAAATGACGGTCGTCCAAATTCCGCTGTACCATGGCATATATTTAGGCGCAATATTTAACTGCTACCGGCGGGGCGACATCTGGAGTCTCTAATTCCTAGAACGAGGTTCATATCGAGACTAGATTGATATTTATACTTTGCCACAAATAGCTTTGCTACACTATCGCCGGCAGGTTTAACAATTTTAGAGTGGTTTTACGTTCTTTGGCAAATTACGCTCTGTTAGCCATAAATATTACTATTTTTTGACCGCCTTTGAATCAAGACTCCTGGACCATATGGGGAATTCATTTATATATTAAATTGCATTGTCATCGTGATTGGAACTATCCTGAACACTTCAAGTCTCTAACTTGTCGGGAAGTCAGTTTAAAATCGATTGGAAATTTCCGCGATTTGCGCGGGATGACTAAGTTAAATAAAAGCTTATAATAAAAATAAATTAAAACAATGAATACAATATTAACGAGTTCTCTGCAAAAGAATTATGGGTTAAAGAGCCAAGTGCTGTTCAGATAGTTACTTATAACTGTTATCTTAATTATAACCAACGAATTAAAAAAATATGAGAACAAAAATTTGTTGTTAAATTTTTATAATTTTGCAATTCTTGAACGTCAATATTTCGCAAAAATAAGCTGATACGATTTTAGTGAAAATGGATCTATGTTACGTAGGTGATAACGAACAAAGTTGCATTTTCAATTTACGTCGTACGTTTTAGTGAACTTTTTACTAATTCAGGAACAGTGTGTATACACTCCGATGTTCGGGATAGTATTTTGAATATACCAGCAATATATGTAAAAGTAGTGGCGACTTCTGTAGAGCATTTCGCAGAGCCTGAGTTCAAGCCCAGTTTCCCCACCAACATCAAAATATAAAAAACAGAAAAGTTTTTTTCTAATAGCGGTTGCTCCTCTGTTAGTGATGGCAAACCTCCGAGTGTATTCTGTCATGGAAACAGCTTCTCAAAAAATACAATTGCCGTTCGGAGTCGGCGTAAAACTGTCCTTTAGTTTGTGTGACAAGATCACGCACGCCACATATCGGAGGAGAAGCTAGGCCAAACGCTAACATATTGTGTAAGCCAATATGTATATCGTCCTTTAAAGTACAAAAGTGCGTATCGTAGTTCTGCAAAACCTCGAAACTGAAATTTGTGCCAAAAAAGATATTTGGTCACCGGAAGCTCCTGACATCAAGCCCTTAGACATTTATAATAAAATATCGATACTTAGGCATAAGGAGAAGAGATAATTACGTTTAAAAGAGAGAACCGTTTTTAATTAGGACACGTTTTACTCTCTCCTATAAAATTTAGTCAACCTCACATACGAGGTTTTGCATTTTCTTGATGCGCGGTTTTGTGCTTTAAACGACGATATGTAGAAGTACTGCATACATATTTTGGTGCTTTTCAAGTATAAAATCCATTGAGAAACGGAAGAAAATGGCATCCCTATGATTTCAACTTACGCCAAACGTTTCGTAAACAAGCAATTCTGAACAAATAACCGTTTTTCCACAAAAGATCTTTAAATGGAAGCATTACAAATATGGAAAGATTGCAATCTACAAGGATTTATTGGGAGTAGGTCCTTTTTAAAGCACAAGCACGAAGCAAGAAGCTAGCACAAAATAATTTTTGTTTGTTTGTTGTTTACAAAAAAATTATTGCCAAGTATATAAGTCAAAATTGTTAAATATATATCGCTTTCATTCATGTCTTCATTTTTCCGATGCATCGAAACATGTTACCCTCCAAAATTTGCATCCCTTCCCATATTCTATAACTACACTTACTGTGCAAAACGAAGAGCTACCACAGGAAGTGGAGAGTTCACCTGGATGATCTCATAAAAAGAAAAAAATTTACTCTTTAAAGGCCTCGACTGCGACAACCCCGCAAACGAGTTAGAACTGGTATTCTTGCTTTGCGCAGCACCGCAGTGAAGTCAACAAGAAAAATTTATGATAAAAATGGTAACATGACCGTTTTAACCGAATTCGATTCAGTTGACGCAATTGAAGCAGTTTTCCAGAACATTAAAAAACTAGGTGATTCAACCATGAGAAATGATCGTATTAAAATTAGTAGCCACAGGATTTACTAAGACCGAGAGAAGAAATTAGTAGAGAGTCGAAAAAATGCAATCGACACATTCTAACTCACAAATAGTAGCATTCACTGCAGGTAAATAACTTACCTTCCAAACATCCGAGATTCGATCATAAAATATAAAATGCCGCAGCCGCCGTCGCCCCATGAGTCCAGCCAACATGTCACACTCGTTGAATTGTTCGTTATCATTTGAGAATGTTTCGGCTGTACAGGCGGATTTCCTTTCGTGTACGAATTGACGATATCACATGGCAATCCTGTCCCTATCTTATTGTACGCAGTTATGTAGAGCTGATACCGAGTTCCGCACCATAAATTAGTTAATAAATGTGAGTTCGTTTTGGCATCTACTTGCAGTTCCTCCCAATCGCCATTTTCTCTTTTATAGTTTATCACATAACCGAGAATTGGACTTCCACCATGACTATTATCCATCCACTCCAGATGTAAGCTATCTGTATAGCTATTCACCACTGTAAGATTCGGTGCGTCTGGTGGCACCTTTATAACAATATTATATACAATCTCATCCTTGCCCCAAGTGTTTTCGACGCTACACGTATAATTGCCAGCATCAATAGCCTGACATTCACGTATATAGAGAGTACCGTTCTTCGCAATCACCTTTCGCGCATTTGTATCCATATTGTGCCCGTCTTGCCTCCAAATGGTCACAGGTGCTGGGGAACCCACTTTTCGGCAAGGTAATTCAATATGCTCTTTCCAAGGGCTTATTATACGCTGACTGAAGGAGACTATACGTGCGGGAACTTTGTTGTTCGGGGGCACCGTCACAACCTGAGTTTTCTCACCCTCGCCAATCTTTGTTGAGGTTGTAAGCCAAAACTGATATGTAGCCGATTCTTGTGTCCGCTGCGTCTCATGCATTTCGACAAAAGGCCCAAGAATACGTTTGTGGGTACCTTCTTCGCGACCACCTTCAAGCATCGACATATAGAAAGTGTAACCGATCTAGAAGATATTGAAGAAAATAAATTTTTATGTGATACAGATTGAAACATTAACCATACAATGTCTCCATTAGGAAATTCCGGTGGTAGCCATGATACAATTATTTTTGTGCTGGAGGCTGGTATTGCTTTAATAGCCTGTGGTGCAGAAGGAACTAAAAAGAAAGTTTTGTATTATTAACTAAAACTTTTCACAAACATTGACAATGCGTAAAAAAGTGTCAATAAAGCTCACCAACGCTTACCATCTTCATGTGTACGACAATAAAATGGTTTCGTCTTCATTCCATCGCCCACTTTGGTGTAAGCAATCACCCAAACCGTGTAGTTGGTGTATTTGCGTAGATTTTCCACCGTGACATATTGATTTGTTGACTTAACAACCTCGGGATCAGTTTCTATATATACCAAAATCAAAAATGAGTTATATTTTTATGTATGTACATATAAATGCATTATTACGGTGACCATAAATAAATACCATATATAAATGATTACGGTGACCATAAATATGAACTGAAAATGCACGAAGATTTTCAAAAAATATACCTACATATGTATGTATGTCTATAAGTTTAGAAATTGGATTAATAATTAAAAAAATATACATATACATATTTTCTTTGTTATTTTTATACTACGTATGCAAATACATACATATGTATGTATGTATGTAAACTTTGAATGTAAATCACATTTTCTTCTTTGGTATTAATCTTTTTAACCGACTTCATAAAAAGGAGAAGGTTATCAGTTCGTCGGAATATTTTATTTATTTTTTTTTTAATGTAGGTATGTTACGGCCTAACTTTGGATCATGTTAACCGATTTCTATAGTTCTCTTTTTAAAGGAAAGGTGTAATCTCACAGGTGGTCCCATATTAATTTGGTTTAAATCCGATAATCGGATCATGAAGAAATTAAGGATAATCTTAAATTTTTATATTAGAATTGAAGTCGGTTTTGTGTTTTGCTTAAAAATTACTTGTTTGCTTAAAAATTGCTTGTTATAATGAATGTTTGTAAAATTATAATTAAATGTATTATAATTACACTAGTTTACACGAAAAATGAACCTCTGTAAAATGGTTTTTTCCAGGGACCGAATATAACAGTTATTGATGAAAATTGTCATGGAAATATTCACTACGAAGGAAACTAAGTGATACATACCAATCGAGTTCTTTCTTCACCGAGACTTAAATTTGAAAATAAATTTTTATGCAAAATTTAAAGAAATTACAATTAATTTTGATTTTTATATTATAAATCCAAAATAATTATTTTTGAATTTTATTTTATACTAGCCAATGCCCGCTTACTTCGCCGCGTCTAATAAATAAGAACTTTTGCGTTGGTCAATGCAAAAGAGCGTTTAAAAGCAAAAATAGTCTGTAAAGTCAAAATTTTTGATTTAAGTTGTAACCACTAAGGCGCAGTATCCTCCTCACAGACACGCCAATAATAGTAACGCTATGATACCATATGGAATACCAATCCCTTTCGGTGTCATGAGTTTTACCGATTTTCTTATTTCCACCTGTGAGATCTCTGCCAAGCATGCGATGCGTAGCCAATAAAAGTTCTTATAAGGAAACTCAAGAGCACAGAAATGGGTTATCTGTTATAGGAGGGCCAGGAATTCTCGCTATCCCACAGGATGAAAAGTTTTCGGGTACATTGCCTAAATGAGCCGTGCGAATTCTTGAACATCTTTCCTTGTTAATTCGCCACTTTTACAATCAGTTCTAATATGAACTGATTTCTAGGTAGATGCAATTTCGCATGATCGTGCGTCACACAAACCTAGCCCCATCCTTCATTTAGACGTCTGAAAACTAAATTCGTATAACTTAAACATAGGGCCAAAGCAGACCAACCATACGGAGTTTCTATATATTTCGGCTGCAGCGCCATCCATTGGGTCCATTTTCTGCAAAACCATTGCTTACCATAAAATAAATACGTGTTATGAATTTCAACCTCGACTCCAGTGGCAATCATAGGGTCAACTTTTATCAAAAGAATTTTCCATCATACAGGTACATAGCTCACATTTAAAATTTGAACGAAATCGGTTAATAAATACGATTTTTATGAATGATTCTACTTCGGGACCACATAGCGCGTTTTATAGTAGCATGTATTTAATAGGACCATATATGTATGTAAGATAACCTCCGACAATCTGACGAAACTTTATTCAGTGGTTTTTGAGTTTAGTCCGAACAACGAAAACGACTATCATTTTATGCAAATAGGTATGTACTTATAGATAGCACAGTGTATAGCGAAGCTCGTAAAATCAAAACTCCATTCTTTGTGAAAAATTAAAAAAACATTCTTCAAAATTTTCACATAAATTTTACCTTTTACTAAAAATTAAAAACAAAGTTCCAATAGTTCAAGGGGATTTAAGTATCTAGGAGAAAATGGTTCCCAATCGAATGATACTTGCGCGTTTACGTAAATGTATATCGATCCAGCCTTTCCTATAATTATCACTTTTCGCCATAAGTACGGTATTGATAACATATGAACATATGTATCGCATTTCAGAACATTGGCGTAAGCGGTTCCAGAGATAAGCTATATGAGAAGTTCAGTTTGTACCTTCCACGCCCCTTTTTCCAATGCGTTCGCAATATATGCATCAGTGCAAATTTTCAGTTGCCCAGCGTTATTGGTTTTAGAGATATATTGGTTTTTTACGATTTAGTCTATTTAAGAGTTTTAGGAATATCCCAAGCTACATACCGACTACATTTTTGGCCGGCATATTTATTTTCAAGGTGATGGCATAAATAAATATAAACTAAATCGGTGCAGCCGTTAAGTAGTTTAGTGAAATACATTGTACAGAGAACTGCATGAAATTGTAAAGCGTGACGTCTCAGATTTCTTAATTTTTTGGCAGCAACAACAAAAAGTTCGCCGGGGCCCGAAATATGGTAATATGTAGTACTAGGTTCCAGCATAAGAACATCCACCAAGCTACATGGCTGTCTCCAGATCGAAAAACGAGAAACCAAATCGATCATGTTGTGAT